ACTCATCGCACAAGCCCAGCACAATGGGGTTCTTTAGTGTCGTGTTCTATTTCCACCATTAGACTTGCTTCTGTAAAGGATTACAGCTTTCTGTGCTGGTGATTTGGCAAAACATAACCTCCCGTTTGTACCAACATGTGATTTCCATCGAGAAAGGGAAGAGGGAATATTGTGAGATAGTCGACACAGGTGTAAACGGTAAAGTGTGATTAATGCTCTGTTAAGAGCTGCATTTTCAGATTCTGTCTCATATACATACATTATTAGAGTGTATCTTCAAACGATTGGTTCAAAAATATTTTTCTTAGCCAAAGTTATTCATTTTGTCTGATTTGTTTCAAAACCCTCTGTAGTTTCTAGATTCTACTTTAAACATCACTCTTGCTTTTATGGCATTTAAGAATGGAAATTTACTGGTGTGGCTCGGCTGATTGGAGCATTGTCCCAGAGACCAAAAGGTTGTGGGTTTGATTCCTGGTCAGGGCACATACCCAGGCTGTGGTTTTAATTCCTGGTCACGGCGCCTGCAGGAGTCAACCAACCAATGTTTCTCTCTCACATTGATTTTTTTTTCCTTTCTCCCTCTTTCTCCCTTCCTCTCTCGTTGAAAACAATGAAAACAAAATGTCCTTGGGTGAGGATTTAAAAAACAGAAATTTGTTGAGGCTAGAATTTCTGAAGGTCTAAGTAGTTTGATTCTCCTAGTTTTATCTTCCTGACCACTTTTCAGCAGTTCTTAAAATATTTTGTCTCGAAGAGACACTGACATTTCTTAATTTCATTTCCTAAATCACAGTTTTGACAGATCTGTCCATGACGTTTAAGTTGTGTTAAAAACTGGATTTTTAAACGTGTTAATTTTTTCAGGCCACTAAGTTGCCACTTAGTGCGTCACAAGACAACTTAGTACCCTAGCGATAATGTAAGCTCTGGGGAAAGAACCCCCAGAGGCCCGTCAGCAGGAAGCACAGTACACAACAATGTGGCCTTGTGGCCACTGAAGGTAATACACAGCAAGCCAGCGACCAATGAGAGAGCTCACTGAAGCGCCCTCAGAGCTCACCCTCACCAGGTCCTTACTCTGTGGGCATAGTCCTAAGTTTTATGCATTTATAAATTTGCTTAATCCTCTCAACCACACTCTGAGGTAGGTAATATTATAAACCATATTGTGTTATTGATAAGGAAGTAGAGGCACAGAGAAGTTTATTGACTGGCCCATACACACACAGGAACTGGTAGCACCAGGGACTGAGTGCCAGTAGTTGGATTCCAGGGCCCTTATCTTGAGATGCTCCGCTATGGCTCTTCTCAGAACTAGAGTACTCCCCGTGGTCACTCAGAGAAGCATGGCACCGGGGGAGTCCCTGGGACTGAGGAAGGTCTACACCATGACTGACTAGATGTCATGCCATTGTCAGCTGGTGCTGATTAAAATGATGACCAATCGGAGTGCCAGTATTTTCAGTGGTATTACTGCACAGATGGAACTCGGAATCCATTTCCTTCAGTCATTGAAGATCAACTACTTTTCTTAATAGTAGACATTCCTTGGTTATTGAGTCTTTTATCATAGGATCATAGAACAATAGAGGTGGAATGGACTTTGTGATGTATTCTAGCAACTGAATCTGCAAATAAGAGGTTAACATATTTTCAGTGACAAACAAGGTTATGTCCTATTTTAAATACCCATAACATTCTATATCTCTTTACCTATCTAATTTGTTAATTGATCATTATAGTTGGTACAACAAGCCGGTCTTCCTCACTAGCACTCAAGGTCCATCAGCCTGCTTCTATTTTGCTTACCACTCCATCTTCAGTGCCTAGTTCTTGGGGAGCCACTCAGTACATATTTGTTGACTGGCCAACTGACTAACTGATCAATTCACTAACTTCCATGAGGCAGGCCCTGTGACAATGTGTGCTTCACTGCCACCTTTGGGAACAGCTACATGATTAAGGGCCACCTAATGGACAGGAGCCAGGTCCTGGGACAGACTGCCAGGTCTATATCCCAGCCCTTCCATTTGTTAGCTCTGTGGCCTTGTGAAAGTTACATAAGCTCTCTAAGGCTCAGTTTCTTCATCTATTAAATGGGGATAATAATAGTACTGACCTCATAGTGTTGTTCTGGGAAAAAACTAAAGATTCACTCTAAGCATTCCCTAGATCACCACCACGTCCTTCCCCATGACTAAGAAGCAGAATAGTGATCCCCATGAGATGAGTCACTTTGAAAGGTCACCAGCCCCTACTTTAAACACCGTGAAGGACTACACGTTCTAACACCTTCCAACCCCTCAAAACCCTTACAACCTCTGTAGATAATTCCTTTCAAAAGTTCATTATTTTCACTATCCAAAAGTGTTTGTGTTATGATGTCTTTGCTCTAATTAAATTGTTTTTGCTAATTAAATTCAAACTCTGAAGTTAATTTAGTTGAGCCAAACTCCTTCACAGTGTTTATGAAGCCCTTCAAGATATGACCTCTCCCTAGTTCTGAGCTCTATTCCTCAACCTTCCCTGCTCCCACCCTCCACTTCACCCACACAGAATTTGTTCTTGGAAAGCACCATGTTTTCTTTCCCCTCCATTCTTTTCCATGTTGTCTCCTCAGCCTATCATACACTTCCTGCCCTTCTTGGCCTTAGGCCTCAGCTTTTCCTGACCCTGCAAGACGGGATGGCTATCCCTGCTGAGTTCTGAGGGCCCTGGTGTCACTCCTGTTGCCATTTCTTGTTTCCTAATCTGCTTCCCCCCACGAGGCTGAGAGCCCACTGAGGTATTCCTCAGGCTCACAAACACTCAGTAAATACCTGTCTGATCAATGTGTGAGCAAATGGATAAGGAAAGTTCAATTCTGTTGAGTTAAACACATCAATGAGGAGAGTTAAGTTCACTCTTTCCTTTCAATATATCATGGATACGGTGAAACAGCACCTTTCTTCATTAGAAAATGTCTTATATCTTTGCTTACTTGAAGCTGTACCTGGGGCGGGCCTTGCCTTTCATTCCTGCCTAAACGACCACAGTGGAACCTTACCTGTAACAGTGCAAGATAAGCCCTAAAATCAGTCACTAATTTGGTCCAATGCAAGAAGCTTTTCTGCACGTTTATGTTCTAATTTACTACTATTGGTTTTTTAAAATAAATATTGAATACTACATTTGCGTTGACTAGAGTATTTTTAGAGGCTCAGGTCTTTATTTAAGAAACCCTTACTGATTCTCTCGTCTCTGGCAGAGGGCAGAGGACTCAGTGAGGGAGGGGAGGCTAACTCGCAGTGCCCGGTGCCCACAGCCGTCACCAGCTGAGGGGACAAGGTCCCCAGAGTGAAAAGTGAAATAAGCCCAAATACAGAATGTTAGTTCAGATATAATGTCTCATTTTGATCCTTATGCAGTCCTGAGAAATAGAATAAATGTAACTCATCCTCACTTACAGCGGAGAGACACTGGCTTGAGGGAACATGATCTGCCAGCTGGTACTCAGGCAGGTAGTGACAGACCCAGAACTTAAGTCCAGGTCTGTACAGTCCCAAGTCCTGCATGTCCTGCTGGACAGCTCCATGCCCCTAAGACACACTCAGTGACCCTTAGAACAAGCAACAGGCAGAGCCAAAATTGTGGTGAGTCCCGTGAAGGGACATCAGAGAGGAAAGCTTATCCAAGCTCCAGAGGTGTCGGTGTGGTGGTGTGTAGGGCACGGTGAGTCACACAATCTGGCATTCAGTTTCCTGATAGATGAGGGCCATCTTCATCCAGGCATTTTGCTGGAGGAATATATCTGTTCTTCCCCTGATATGTGGCAAAGGAAGACCCTCCTATTCCAGAAAGTTTTCCATCTTAATATGTGAACTGAAAAATTCACGACAATTTAGCAAGACATGGGAGTTTTGGCTTTTTGTTCTAGTTTTTGCTTTACATCAAATCAAAGAAATCTAGGTCCATGTTAAGAAGAGTAAATTAGCATCAGGTGCACCATTAGTTTGTTTACTCAGCATAAAATTATGTCCTCAGTAAATGGGAATATCAAATAATATAAAAAAGCTGGCTGATTTACATTTTCCTTTTTGATTAGAGGATTGCATCTGCTGAACTTAAGGGAGGAAAATCTCTCCCATTTAGCTTTTGAAGATCAAAGGGACCATTAAATATGCCATATTACCAGCATTTTTTTCTTTTGGGGTTAAGACTGAAAGGTGCATTACAAATTGAGACTGCCGTGGGGAAAAGAGAGGACTTTATTTGGGGTCAAGTTCACTTCCCTCAGCCAGGACAATCAGTTTAACCTTTTATTCCAATAGGGCTGCCCTACACCTTAAAGTAAACCCTGACCTGTCTGCTGAGTTTTCTGTGCAGAGACCTGAGCCGCCACCTGATTCTAAATCTTGGGGATTGTTCTGTAGTGCATTTGATAAAGTCGACAAACATAAAATGAACTGAAAAGTAAAACCATCGAAAAGGAGGAGAACCTGTGTAGGAATTCAGTTGGGATACATCTCGTTTCCTCCTGAAAGGGAGTAGACAGAGACAAGTGTCTGGGTAATGTTCGTGTTTTCCTTCTTAGATAAATAGCCAAATGTGTGCATGACCAGCTGGAGCGTGAAGTCAGCTTCATCTTCAGCTGCTGAAATACTTATGGTGTACATGAGTAATAGCATTTCTCAGACCACAGTCATTGGCTGGTTTAACATTAGAGGCACTTGTTTGTCCGTTGTTTTCTGGTGTTTAGAAATTAACTGTCCCCAGTTTCTAGTCCCTGTTTTAATAAACTTGAATAATTAAGACCTTTTTCAAGGTGCCTCTAAGACCTTTTTCATGGGTGGTGTGCAGGACTAATTTGAAAATGCCTGAGATATGTCTTTAACATGTCGACAGTAAAAGGAAAATTTTCGGAGATGGGTTGAGATTGATTTCAAATAAAATGAGCAACTAAATGTAATGAGTAAATTTATCTTAAGTACTTGGCATGTCTTTTCTGCTTTGGGCAGCCAACACCCAGAAGAAGACAAATACTCAGATCTCCGCTATGACCCAAACTGGAAGAGTAAGAGAGGAGAAGGGCAGTCATTGAGTGTGGAAACATCGCCAGAGTCTCCAGACAGCTCCACAGAAAATCTGACTTTGGGTCCACTCTACCCTTCCAGGGAGACTTCACTGGAACTCCCAGGGGGGAAGGGTGAACAGAAAAAGAGCCCACAGAGCGAAGCCTCCTTACTTGGTAGTGAATTTTTAAGCCCAAACTATGAGCATGGTGCCCATCGCAGCAAGCTGTTTTCAGAGTTGAGCGACAATGACCTGGCAGAGAAATCCAGCAGCCACTCTCTGTACTCGAAGAGTTCCAAGTCATGTAAAGAGGTTTTCTCGTCAGGACCACGTGGCCCTCACCGAAGGAAGTCCAAACAATATTTTGTGGAAAAAAATAAGCTGACTTTGGGATTACCTACCCCTAAAATGGACTCTTACCTTCAACTTCACAATAGAAAAAGGGAGGAAACTCTCACAGAACAGGTATGTAGCAGTTTCTTTAAAATCTCACCAGAGTGCTCTCCCTCCTGGGAGCAGGCTCCCATTTTTCCCATCTCCCCACCCCACATTAGTTTTACCCTTCTCTCTCCTAAGCTCCAAGGGCCCCTTCTTTTGACTCTGTAACTTGTTTCCTGAGCTCGTTTCTTCTGCCACTCAATTCTCTTACCTCTGTAAATCTCTAAATAAACTTTCTCTTATAGTTTGAGTCTTGGCTCTGAATTCTTTCCAGGCCAGAACTCAAGTTATAAAGAAAAATAAGTCATCTGAAACACTAAGCACTAAACTGGAATTTGCCTTTGTTCGAAATGGTTGGGTATCACTTCTTTGAGATAGTGGTGGCAGTGTTAACACCTGCCTAAGTAAATCTAATGCCCTAGGGAATTATTCCACAAATTCCTAAAAGCAAAATAAAAGTCATGAATGGTTTATAGTTCTGTAATTGCTGCAATTCAATTATTATCTCTAAAATGTTTTCATTCAAGGAACTACAGACTTTATTTAAACTACACACTCCAATGAAGAAATCTTGATTCCCTGTGTCAGTTGCCTTTGCAGCAACCTGATTAACTGCCCCCAACACATTGGAGATGACAAGACATTAGATAGTGGCAACTCATGTACAGAAGTGATTCTCAGTCAGATGCTGTGTACTTACTGGTTGGGAGTGGGAGGAGGGCAGATACAACATGGAGCATTTTTTTAAATCCAAAACATTCTATTACCTTTCCAACTCCTCTTGATAATCCCTATAGCATCCTTTACTATCCTATCCTGATTAAACCTTAGTCTGTCCATCTATAAAATTAGGATAATAATAAATGTCCTCCCTTTCTCATATGACCATTTCGAAGGTAAATTGTATCCCAGATGATGGATTCAAAACCTGTTGAATCCAGAAAACTTAGTTCTATTTCATGGGTGCAGGTAAAGGTCATATCAACCCACCATCTAATGAATGGTTCCCCTGTGGACACGAGAAGAGAGTGTGGTTGAATCAGTGTCCACCACCCTTATTGGAGGAGGAGCTTGAAATTCATCATTTGCTATGGTGGGGTCAATAATAGAAGGAGACCTTATGACATTAAGTGGGGATTCCTGTAGGCCTATTCCAAACCTAAATTGGCCTTGTTTAACCTGTATTTTCTGATGGAACAAGAGAGATGGGGTGAACATTTGTGATTATTTTCTTGATTTAGAAACTCCCTTGAGAAGGAGCACCTTTCCAGTTGCTAGATAACATGCTGCCAATTAATGACTCACTTAATAAAGCCAATTAGATATTTAAATTTTAAAAAAGAAATTTCTTTTGTAGTCTTTTAAAAAATATTTTATTTATTTATTTTTAGAGAGGGAAGGGAGGGAGATAGAGAGAGAGAAACATCAATGTGCAGTTGCTGGGGGTTATGGCCTGCAACCCAGGCATGTACCCTGACTGGGAATTGAACCTGCAACACTTTGGTTCACAGCCCACGCTCAATCCACTGAGCTATGCCAGCCAGGGCTTCTTTTGTAGTCTTAAAGAATTTGTCACATCCTTGCCTTTGTGACTAATAATAAAACAAAGGAGTGGGTGTCATATATTTAGCTGAATTATCAAAACAAATATTTAGCTGAATTGAAGCAGAGTTTAAAAGATTTTGACCCAGTTTTAGATGTTTAATCTACTTTTTTGTTTCATAAAACTGATATGAAATTTTGAATTTTGATTGCTCATTTAAAATTATAAATAAATTTGATAGCCTAGTATATGTGAAAAATATTTATAGCTAATTATTTCTCTCAGGCTAGGATATGTTTCAATTTATTTTAAAATGTGTTGTCAAAAGAAGCTGATATAAAAGGAGAGGTAAATAGGCTAAAATAAGTAGTTATATTTCTAATAATAAAAAGGAAAAATGTTAAATATAAACTCATTGCTGATATTTGATTGTTAATTTTTTAGTAGTTATAACTTAATTTACTAAACATTATTGGGTTGAGTTGATTGTCAGTGATTCCATAGCACAGTTTTCATTATGGCAAGGGACTTTAAAGCATGTAGGCCCTCCCAGTCTTCAAGCTCGTGAATTAGCCTTTAGCCATTTACCTTGTCCATTGCTTTCTCCAGGTTCAAATATCTAAGGGCTGGTTGCTAATTGTATTCAAAATTGTTCCATAACCATTTCTAACATATATTTTCCTCATTTTATATTCTTTTAGAAGGATAAAAATTAGTTTGACCTAACAATGATATAATGATAATGTATAACTTTTTAGTCCATATTATAGTCGGTAGCATGAAACATATTACTTTAAAATAATTATTTAGTTTAAGAAATGTGTAGTCTTTTTGTGCCAGTGCAGATTTATATATCTTCTTATGAGCAGGAACTATGCTTTGAACATATATTTTTTGAAGATTTTATTTATTTATTACTAGAGAGAGAGGGAGGGAAGGAGAAAGAGAGAGAAACATCGATGTGAGATCACATCCATTGGCGGCTTCTCACATGCTACCAACTGGGGTCCTGGCCTGCACCCCAGACATGTGCCCTGCCTGGGAACCGAACCAGCAACCTTTTGGTTCACAGGCTGGCGCTCAGTCCACTGAGCCCCACCAGCCAGGGCTAAACTTATTTTTAATCTTCATAGTAACCAGCCACCCACACTACAAGGACTCAGTAAATATATAGGAATTGAAAGCTACATCTCTTCCATTACATCCAAACTTGATCCTCTTTATTCTGACTTGAAGTTTATATGGGGAAAAAGGTATTCCTAAAGCAGTGGTTTGAACTCCTGGCTGGATATTAGAACCTCCTGAGAAACTAAACATTGGGGGGAAAAAAAGTGATTCTCAGCTTCCTGCAGGCCGCTTCACATCTGTGAGTGAGAACTTGAGCATCAGAATTTTTTTAAAGACCCTCAGGTGACTCTGATGTGAAGCAGGTTTGAGAAGCTTTGCTTGAGACAGAGCAGAGGCTCTCACCCTTGACTTCACGTTGGAATCACCTGGAAACGTTTAAAAATGGTAACTCACTGTTGTGAAGCCCGAAATTCTGAAATTCTCATTTAATTCATTTGGGGTGCCCCGTAAGCACGGGGAGTTTTCAGGGCCGGCCAAGGTTGATCGCTGGTCCAGAGCAGTGGTTCTTAATCATTAGCACGAGTGAGATCATCTGAGGGCTCATTAAGCCAGGTTACTGGACGGAGCCCAAGAACTTCTGGTTCAGGAGGTGTCAGGCTGGGCCCAAGGATCTGAATTTTCTGCATGGTTCCAGAGGATGCCCCTTCTGTTATCAGGTCCACACTTTGAGAACCACTGACCTTTTGCTCCAACTTAAAAGTGCTAATGAACTACCTCAGGATCTTGTTAAAATACAGATTTTGATCCAGTAGGTCTGGGGTGACACAAGAGCTTGTGTTTGTAACAAGCCAAGGCTGCTCCATGGACCACACTTTGAATAGCAAGCGGTGAGAGTATAAAGAACATAAAGCATTTATCAGAAAGCTAAAGCCAAAGTGGGGTAAGTCAGTACCCACAAAGCTTTGGTGATGTCACTGGCCTCTAGGAGTATTCCTTTGACTGAGAGGTAGGAGGTATGAAGTTGGGATGGCAGGTTAGATTAAGCAGCATCCTTCTGTAAGTTTTTCATATTTGAACATCTATTTTCTTCTAATTTTTTTGAAAGAGATGACAGATGTCTTACAACTAGGAACATCGAGAGGATAAATAACATCTATTGTTGAATGAATGAATAAATAAATCTCAATTACTATTAAACACAACCAAGAAGACTCAGCTTTTTAATTTTTATTTTTTGTAAGCACCTATGCCCCCTTTGAATCAGACTTAAGGGTCTTAAGTAGTGTGTTGTACTTAGGAAGATTTGAAAGTGAGTCAAAGAAGCTTATAACATCCCAATAAAACTCTTGATAGTTTTCTTAAAATAAGACTTGAAAAGCTGATTATGAAGTTCACATGAAAAATTGGCATGAATGATAAAGACAGCTCTGGAAATTAAAAGTCCTGAAAGAATATAGCCCTACTAGATAGTATAGTGTATGATAAAGCCTCAATAATTAAATTTTAAGGTAGTATTTAATGCATATGCGGATAGAAAAATGGAAGAGTAGAATAGAAAGTCTAGAAATAGAACCAAATTCCATATGAGAATGTAAGATCTAAAATGAAGATTTGATAAAGGCGGGGTCGCAAATCAGTGAGGGAGTCAGGAGCTGCTCAGTGAAATAACTGGATAAGCCACCTGGGGAAAATTAAAGTTGGATCCATACCTCATGCCATACAACAAGATAAATTCTAAATGAATTAAATATTTAATTTTTAAAAGTCACAAAAAAACTATTAAAAATACGAAAATTCTCTATAATCTTAAAGTTGTTTAAAATCTAGAATCTATAGATGATTGATAACTTTGACTCCATAAATATCAAAAACTGCTATAGGAAGAAAGCATATGAAAGTCAAAATATAAAGAATAAACTAGGGAAAATGTTTCTAATTTATATCACAGACAATATACTAATATCTTAAATACCTAAAGAGCTCCTAGAAATCCATAAGAAAAAGACCAGTGCTCCAGTATAAAATTACACAAAATATATGAAAAGATAATTCACAGAAAAGTTAATACATGTGGCTATTAGGTATATAAAAGATATTCAACCTCAGTTATTATAAGAGAAATGCAAATTAATACTACACTGGGATTCCATTTTTTATCTATAATTAAACCAACAATATTTCCCAAGTCTGATGAACCTATAGGCAAAAAGTACAATCAAGCTGGTGAACGAATAAATTAGTATACTAGTATGGGGGAAATTTTGTTAGTACCTATTTAAAATATACATACATACACTCCTTGAGAAAATCAAGTGTAATGGCCAGGAGTGTGGACTTTGGAGACAGGTGGGTTCGCACTAATTCCTGCTAGCTGTGTGTCCCTGAGCAGCCTGCTGTACCTCTCGGTGCTTCAGTT